ATCTTAACTTGCTAAAGTTCATAATGAACAAATTTTAGGTTCTAATCAATTTGAAAGTTGGGTAAAATCTTAAATGTTCATACTTGTGCTTGAAATATTAATACCCTTCATATTGGAAGGTTGTAATGTTCATATGTGCATAAGTGTTGGATAAATTTTCATTGGATGATTATTTATTTATTCAACTATTTTTGTCAAATCTCGTTATTAATTGGATGGTTAAATTAATCATGAGACTAGCCCTCAATTTTTGTTGCATCAAGTTGAGCCAAAATAATTTAGAGAATGGTTCTTGAATTAATTTTGGTTTTTGCATTAAAATTGAATTTATTTAAGTTGGACTTGTTTTAATTTCAAAATTGCTCAAATATTAGTTCTAAAATCAATTTAGAATTAATTTAAAGTTACACAAAAATTGGAATAAAATTCCGAGGCATGAGCACTAAAAATTCGAAACTTTAAGTTTCGAGCACCAAGCTCGACTAGCAGGGCTGCTTGCGCAGCCCGCATGTTGCTGCCGAGCTGGTGCGTGTGTGTGCGCGATGGTGTGGAAGCTTGGTGCGGGGAGGGCTTGCGAGGATGCAAGGCACGATGTGGCAAGCACAACAGCAGCAACAACTTGCGTGTGCGCGCCATGCCTGTGCTAGTTGCCAGAAAACGCCCAACAACAACTTGGCACGCAAGGTCGGGCCTTCTAGGCAGCGCCTAACACTTGTGTGCGTACGATCAGTAGGGCTGCTAGGCATGGCAAGGCCGTGGCCTTAGCATGGTGCTATGGGCCCCGTTTTTCTTAGCCATTAATTTTTCCTTGTTTTATTTTGCGGTTATAAGTAAAACGAGGCTAGGCCTCGGTATTTCACTTACTTACAAAATTTTGACAAAATTTTATTTGATCGGCTTAATTAATTTTAATTCGATTAATTTTAATTAAGTTGAATTTGGAATTTAGTGGGACCTTCATTAATCGTTTTGAGCTTTATTAACCCTTGTTTGTGCTTTTGTTATTACGTTGGTTCACATAATCGAATAAACAACTTGACTAGTTTTAATTAGGCACGTTAATCGGATTAACAACCTAAGTTAGTATTTAGTATGCGCTCGTTTTGATACAATGTATTGTATTGTTGCTTGAATTATTTGTAAAATGCATGGACCATTCACTTTAGAAGTGAATGGAGGAATCGAATATTGTAGATATTCTAATGCAAGTTTTACAAAATGGCAACTAGTATGACCCGACTAGGATAGTAAATACGGACTGCGATCTGTTTTGTATTTTTGTAAATCTAAATACAGACTGCGTGCTGTTAAGTATTTTTGTACTTAAATTATTTATATTAGTCCTAGTTTTTCTAGTATTTGCATTTTTGGTGGTCGTGTCTCAAGACGGCGTTCCTAAGAAGACGATGCCAAGAAGATGCAATGAAGGCCTTTTGAAGATTGGATGCTTCAAGTTTCAAGGGGCTCATGGTAGTTTGCCAGTGCATCTTTATTTATGCCTTATATGTTTTCCTTATATATAATTGCGATATTAGATGCATGTTTAGGATTTCGAATGTTGAATGATTAATTTAGTTCACTTAAATAAACCAAAATAGAAACCCTAAGTCCCAAAGAATATTGAGTCAAAATTGTCATTCCAAAATGACACTTACGGAACTAATGAAAATAGTAATGGGCTATGCCAAAGCAAGGCATTACTACTTTCCTAGGAAAGTAAGGTATGTTGGTGGGCTTGTTAAAGCAAGGTATCATATACATGTTAATTTTTGTGAAACTAAACGATATCAGAAAGGAGTCCTTAGATGTCGTGGCAAAGGAGATAATCGTCAAGGAAGCATTGGATGCAACGATTTATCGAACCAAGAATAGCTTAGAGCTATTAGCAATTGGATTGCTTACCTTAAAATATTAAGTGTTAAGACAAGCCAAAGCATACTTAATCATATTTTGATTTTTGGGGTCTTGGAATCATTTTATTCTCGCCTAATTGGGACAAATTTATAAATGTGTGAATAGAACGTTAATAAGTTAATTGAAATTGCTAATTTGCATGTATTTCAATGCTTATTATGTTATCTTGATAAATGGTTGTACTTTGTACTTATATTTGTAGAATTCTAAATCAAATTATAATGTTTCCAACGACTGGTAAAAGGAAATCTTTTGAGAATGGTTCTCAAGGAAAGAAGAGGTATTTCTAAAATACAATTTCTCATAAATGACTTTTATGGCTTACTTCGAAAGGACGGTTGGACATCATGCATTCAAAATACTAGGTAGTTTTAATGAACATGAAATATTGAGTTGAAAACTCAAATTGTCAATAGTTGACAACCAACATATCTTTTCGCTTTATACACTAATGAGTAGGACTCATTAATGTAGTAATTCAAGTACGAATTAAAGGAAAAGATAGAACTTTGTTTTACGGTGCATTAGATGCTTAATTATGCCTAAAAAGTATAAAAGTCAAAACACTTAAAGTAGCAATTCTTAAAGTTATGAGATGATGTATGATAAGAAATATAAGAACAAGAAACATAGAAGAGGAGTACGAGATTCCAGTTCTACCTAAGAGTTTATGTTATCGTAGTTTGCTTAGCTACTTATTTTCACAAGTATTAGACACTGTTTGAGAGTTCCACTTCCGAAGTGACCTCAAACCATTGAAGTTAAGCTAAGTTATTGACTTACGCGCTTGGAATGAAGCAAGTAGGTGCTACATCAGCTGTAAGGTCATCTGCTTTGTTTAAATAATAATTATTGTGTTCCATAATTAATAAATATTCTGTTTACATACAGAAAGACTCACATTTATAGTAAAAGAATAATAGTTGTTGGTTTTATTTGAATGGCATGGTTGTTTAGGCCATGAGTCAAGGATGCTTGATTATAAACAAAGTACCAGGGAATATCACTGTAATGTATTATTAGTTGACCAATATAAATGTAATATATTATTAGTCAAATTCATTAAATTGAAAGGTTAAATGATTGAGAATCATTTATTATGATATCTTAATAATTCAAAACATATCCCCATATTAATACTTAATGTATAAGAATGCCAGCGCAGAATGACATATAAATAATTTAAGCCATGTTTGTATATGTTTAAAACATTTGATATTTACAATGTATAATTAAGTTCTAATTTCACGATATTAATTCTTAATTTTACTATATTAGAAGAAAAAAAACTTATGCAATTAAGGGTTGTTCGTTGCCGTCTTTTGTTTCAAATTTTGTATTTTTCTAAAAACAAAAACCAAAAATAGAGAACTAGAAAAATGTAATTTTCACTTCTTTGTTGTCAGTTTTTAAAATAATCGTAATTCAATTGGTAAGACTAATTTTTATTTTTTTTCTTTATATCATATAACTTTTAAAAACTAAAAACCAAAAAATTTAAAATTACAGTTTTACCGAATGAACCCTTAAATAAACTCTCTTAATTTCACAATATGACACAATTCTTTATTTGATTCAATATGGTATGTATTTGTTATATTCGAATATCTTTTGCAAATGTCGTATTTCGTATGACTTTTTATTAATGAATTAATTTTATTGTTTTAAGAAATTATAATATTAATTTTTTCAAAGCCTATCCTTTTTTCCAAACAATTTAAGAAATAAATCAACAAAATCAATTATTTAACCAAACCACATCATTTTTTAACTTTTAATTATATGATCATGCAATAACAATACACATTAATAAATTATAATAATAATAATATTTTATATTATCCAATTTTACCCCGCCTTAAAGCCAATAAATTACTACATGAACATGTTTTTATTTTTAAATTAGAAAATCTCAGCAAATCTGCAGTTAATATCCAATTAATTAAAAGCAGTCAATTACTCACGAGATTCATTGTTAATATAAAAAAAGTCAAAAGCAGTATCACTATAATGTATTATTAGTTGACCAATATAAATGTAATGAATTATTAATCAAATTCATTAATTAGAAAGGTTAAATTATTATGAATTATTTATTAAAAAAATATCAATAAATTCAAAACTTATCTTAATACTTAATGTAAGAATGCCAGCGCAGAGTGACATATATATAATTAAAGTTGTCTTTGTATGTTTAGACATCATCAGGTATTTACAATGTATAAATTAAGTTCTATTTTCACGACACTAATTCTTAATGTTACTATATTAGCTAAAAAAGTCTTAACCAATTAAGGGTTGTCAATTGTCGTTTTTTGTTTTCAATTTTGTATTTTTTTGAAAACAAAAATCAAAAAGAGAAAACTAGAAAAAGTTGCTTTCACTTTTTTATTGTCATTTTTTAAATAATTAGAATTCAATTGGTAAGACTATATTATTATTATATTTTCTTTTTTTTTTGGTGTTCCTTTTTTGTTCTTATATTATATCACTGTTAAAAATAAAAAAGCCAAAAAATTAAAAATTACAGTAATAATGAACGAACTCTTAAATAAACACTCTTAGTTTCGCAATGCGAAATAATTCTTTATTTGATTCAATATATTATGTATTTCTAATATATTTGAATATCTTTTGTAAATGTCATATTCTTATTTTTTTTATTAATAAATTAATTTTACTGTTTTAAGAAAATATAATATTAATTTTCTCAAAGCCTATCCTTTTTCAATTCCAATCAATTTAAGAAATAAATTAACAAAATCAATTATATAACCAAACCACATCATTTTTTAACTTTTAAAAAAGATTTTTGTGATATTCAATAATAATACACATTAATTAAAAATAATAATATTGTTTGATATTATCCAATTTTACCCAACCCTAATGCCCAAAAATACTATAAATTGGGTCATTTCCTCCTCTTAATTTATCAATTCTCTCTCATTATTCTCTCTCCCTAGTAACTAGTAAAAAAAATAATTAAAGAGAAAAATAAAAGAGAGAAATAGACAAGAGAGAAACAAATAGAGCGCCACTCCTTCTAAAACCTCTCTAAAACCTCGAAATCATATTCGAAAACAATGGAGTCAAACAACAGCCCCATTATTTCAGGCTCACCCGAAAACACCGATAGCGGTTCACCAACACCCATAAGCACCAACTTGCACTCCGTCCCATCAGCAACAATTCCTGCTAACGGAGGACTCACTACTGGTGAGCCGAGTTCCAGGAAGTTGGTGGGGTCGTCAAGGAGGAAGAGAGGAAGGCCAAGAAAGTACGACGCTTTAGGGAATTTGCACCCTTCGTACGCCTCCAGCAGCAGGATCTCTTCGCCACCTTCAAGAGCGGTGTCTCCGCCTCCCGGCTTTGCTCTTACGACATCATTTGTGTTTCAGAGGCCTAGGAGAGCTCGAGACAGAGTTTCTGCTACTTCTTCTCAAATTAACTGGAACAATCAACCTTATTACCAACCTGTTTTTCTAGGTGACATTTTTTTTTCTTGTTTATTTTTTTTCTTTCTTTGGATTTTTGCAGAATTTTTATTAGTAGAGAAATGAATTAAAAAGAGCATTTTTTTTTGGGTTGATGACTTGATTTTATTTACTTTATTTTCATTTTTTTTTTGACAGGAATTATTTATTTAATGTTCTTGGTTTTAAATTATATTGTTTTTTTCTTACAAGTGACTTTTTTCTTGTTTGCTTGACTAATTTCTAAAAGCTTGACAGCTAAAATTCATGACTTGATTAATGATAGAGTAATTGTACTACCTCTGTTGCTGAAAGTTTGACTCAATTACTATTCATGTGGTCAAAATAAAATAACTTTGACCATATTTTATGAGGTATACAATATAAATAAATTAGCACGTGATATCATATTAGATTCTCCTTCTTATAAATTTCTTCTTATAAAAATCAACTTTTTACAAATTTCACTTATACACAACCAGAATTATTCATGGTCAAAGATGTTCATTGGAGACCGACAATAATTATATTGATCATTATGGTAATTTTTATTCTTATATTAATTATATTGGTTTTTAATGAATTACTTCTTATATCATTCAAAAAAAAAAAAACTTCAATAAGTTTTTTGGGACAAAATAAATCCGTAATTTTAATGTACTAAATCACGAAGTCAAATAATGGTCTTACTTTTAGAATTGAGATTAAATATCTATACAATTTTAAGTAATTATATAAATTCTAATTAATTAATCCGATGCTAGAAATCCTTTGTAATTGCAGTCTTACTTTAATTATCATAAGCACTATTATTTTCTTGATCTCGGTGGTACTCATTGGTATCTAGAAAAATTACTTTTAATTTTTTTTTTAATGCATGATTAAATTTTGGAAAATTTGTTAGAAAGCTACTTATATGTTCACTTTTTTTCGAAAAGGACCTTATATGTTTAAAGTGGTGAAAAAGGTTCTTATAAATCACTTTTGTTGTGAAGAGGGACCTTGACGTTGGAACATGGTCATACACTTTAATTTTCCGATGTTGACCATCACGCACGTGGCACGTGATGTTTTAAGAAGACCATTTCGTTCATTTTTTTCCCACATGTTCACATTCTCTCTCTTTCTATCCTCAAATTTTCTCTCAAAATTTCTTCTCTTTCCTTAAAATCATGGGAAGAAAGAAAAAAAAAACATTTTTTAAGCATCACGTGCATGTCACATGATGGTCAATGCTGGAAAAGTGAATTGATGTCAGCAGCTATATTCCGAAGTCAAGATACTTCCTCACAACAAAAGTAACTTATAAAGACCTTTTTCACCACTTTGAACATATATAGTCCTTTTTCACAAAAAAGTGAACATATAAGTATCTTTTAGACAAATTTTCTTTAAATTTTTAATTAATGATTTAAGAAAATTGACTTTTTATAATTGTGTGGTAAAAGGAGGTGGAATAGCAAACTCAGAACGGATGCACTTCACCCTTCAAGTCATAATGTTAAAAGCTGGAGAGGTATTATAAATTTCTTGTTTAACTACATTCTTACACCTAATTAATTTCATTTAAAAAAAAAAAGTATACATATATAAAAAGGTAATAATAATATAATTGTTACAGTTACATACTTACATTACACCTAATTGTAGCAGGAAGTTGTAGATGTATAATTGGACTTGTTTGTTGTAACGTTTTGTTTTGTTTTTTTTTTTTTTTTTTTTTGCAGGATATAGCAGCTAAACTCTTTTTGATTGGCTCAACAGGAGCCCGATCAGTTTTAGTTTTCTCTGCTAGTGGTGAAATCTCAAGTGTTACTGTTTGCCGACCGGGAATTGCTGGTGGCGTCATTGGTTATGAGGTACTTATTAAGTGTCATTTAAAGTTATTCACGGAATTAATTATGTTGGTAGTTATTGAATTGGGTTTTGAAATCGATTTGTATTGCATTGACACTCCGTCTGTTAAATCGACAAGTAACGGTACACATAAAAATTGATGTGTTCAATATTTGCTTGAAAAGAAGCGGATTGGAGGAAGGGGGGGTGGGTGGTGTAATTTTACGAGTTATCAACCCAGGTTGTGATATTCTATTTTGCAATCTTGAGATATTAAATTGATCTAAGAGTTACAAAATGGTCATGTTTTGCCTTTGAAATCTGTGTTCTACGAAGATTCTTGGTGCTCATGTTTATGGTCCTGGCCTTTGTGGGTGTTATGTTATAAATAGTTAATTCATCATATCATCAATTTGTTGTACGCGCAGTTTTCTGTGCATGCCATTAGGTGTTTTAACATGCTAGATTAATTCCCTTTGGTGTCGAGCATGTGTTGGTAAATCATTATCCTTGAGATTTGTCCTTATGTTTTGATGGACTCTTATATCCCTAAATTAATATATCTTGTTTCCATTTGTATAAGTGGAAAAAAAAAAAAAAATCATAACAGGTATAAAAAAAAATCAAGCTTTGTATTTGTTACTTGGTTTACATTAAGGGTAATTTCTATTGTTGTGTAGAGAATTATACAAAGTAGCATGTATTCTACAAATACGTTGTTATTTATCATATATATGGGGTCTATAATTTGATTAACTTAGCTTTTTGCTAAAGTATTGTACATCAACATCAGCCCGCCCCGCTAGCCCGACCCAAAAATAGGGCGGGTTTGGACCGAGTAAGCCTAAAAACGCATTTTTATTTAAAAACGTGAACCGGCCCGAAAAACCTTGCTACTATATTGCGGGTTTGGGCACGAGATATGGTTTTAAGGCCTGTCCTGCTAGTGAGGCATGAAGAAAGGATGTCCTTAAAATTGGACTAAATGACTTTTTTATCCCTCTTTTATGTTGTATATTGGTGCTTTAGTTCGATAGGATATGCATTTGTAAAATTCATTGAAATTGTAGTTTACTTATCTCAACAATCAACTTTGGTACAGGGTCGCTATCAGTTATTGTCCTTAACTGGATCATACAAAACGAATGAAGTTAATGGGGTCACAACCACGACTGGTGGTATAAGCGTCTCACTCGCTGGCCCTGATGGTAAAGTAGTTGGTGGCAGGGTTGATGGCTTGCTTATTTCCGCAACCCCAATTCAAGTTAGTGTCAATCTTTCATATAATCTCGGCCACAAACAAACTAATTCTAATACTTAAAAGGTTTAAACAAATGACAAACTTCGAAACAACTGAATTTTTCAAAATGAGTACATTGCATATTTCAGTTTCATCCATTAGATATGGTTCTTTGACTTCTTTCTCTTTCTGATTAAGCTTTATGTTTCAATTTCTATTAGTTGGTTATTGGTACCTTCATTCCACAAACTGCAGCTGCTATCCCTGCTTCTCCTGATGCAATGCCTGCAGAAATACCGATCCTGCAGCCTGTTTCACTAGGAAATGGAGTTGGCGCACCAGCAGTACCTCCAATGCCAGTTCAAACTCAGGGTGAAGTCGATGATGACATAATTGTACTCGAGGTTTGGGGTAACAAATCGCAGCCACCACCGCAGGAGAGAATGTACCCTGACATCAATGTGACTGTACCTGATGAGGAGTGAGGTTTTCGGTCTCTTTTGTTCTGTTGGTGCTGAGGTCCTTAGTCTTTAGTAGGTGTTGTTGAGATTAAGGTAGTTTTTATTAGAAAAGGTTTTATTTTAATTTGAGCTGGAAATTTGAACTACTTTAGGTTGTTCATTTGTTGTATGATCCAGTTTCTTGGAATTCAGACATTACATTTACTTTTAGCTGTAATGGTTGATTATGAAAGGTTTATTGTTCTTCTTTGTTCATTAGGTTCCAATTTTTCTGGTTTCCATCTGCATTATTGTTTTGTTTGGGATTGGTCTTTCCTCCTCTTTTTTATTGTTTTTTTTTTTTTTTTTGTTTTTTTAATGGAGTTTGGCCATCATGTTGTCAAAATTACTGCTCATATTTGGGTTGTGCAAAGGTATTTGAACTGTTTGACCAGTTTCGAAAATCTAGTGATTCAATCCGAAATTTCGATGTCCGAACAGGTTTTTTGTGTCAAATATCATAGAATGGATTTCGTATAAAAATATTTAAAATCAAGTTTTTGGATAGGACACGGATTTGCAAACCCACTGATCGAGCTGATTTGAAAATTTTGATCTAAAATTTATAATTTGATCTAAATTTCCGGTGATTTTGTATCGAAAACCCACTGATCTGATTTGAATATTTTGTATCAATTAAGGATTGCATTTTTACCGATCCAAAATTTTTGATCGGATTGGATCCGATATTTGAAATTGCAAACCCCCTAAGTCTTATGGTGAAGGCCTTGTTTGGGAATTGGCAGTTGGTTGCCAGTTGGCTACCGATTGTTTAACTTAATTGGCTTGTTTGACTAGCTGTTAGCATGGGTTATTTGCACCAGTTGTTTGACCATTGATTGTATATAAATGTGTTTGGTAAAATTATTATGTGTATTTATTCAACTATGCAAAACGACGTTAAAGAACATCATTATGTGTACTTATTCATTTATGAGGAGTATTAGTACTCAATATGAAATACTAGTTGAAAAGGCATACTTATTAATTACTTATCTATTAGGTTATAACGAATAAAAATTATAAATAAGTATTCATAAACAATTTATTGTTGTAAATTTATTATTATATAACGAGTAATATTAATAAATAATTAACATTTATTGAGGAATATTAATTATTTATTAAATTAGCAATTATTTAATTTATTCTAGCTAATTTTTTAATTAATTAGTAATAAATTCTTATTACCAATTGATAACTACTTATTTTTAATATTTTTTTTCTTAAAAAACGTTAGCCGTGCAATTTTATTAAATCAAATCAATCTCCGCCAAAGTGATAAAGCTATGAGGGAAATTGTCAAGCCATACATACGTTGTATCACTAACATTATATTTAGCAACAAAGTGCGCAAGAGTATTACCCGACCTCCGAACATGACAACAATTAAAAGACATAAAATCAGATTTCATTCTCTTAACATCCTCATAGAGCAACATCAAAAGAGAGTATCCCAAAGGCTCGTTGTTGATCGTCTGCACGACTACACCACTGTTAGCACATCACATTCTAGAACAATGCTCATATATCCCAACTGACGTGCAACCTGAACTCCAAGTCTCGCAGCAGCAATTTCAGCTTGCTCTACCACCCATCTTGCACTCACGACATACTTCGCACCAGCCACCAGACCACCATTCTCATCTCGCAGAGATACGCCCAGGCCTATTCCTAGCAGCCATGTGAGCATATGTGTTCACCTTAATGGTGCCTGCATCAGGGGGGATCCAGTAAATTGAAGTATTAGTACAACAATTATGCATTAAAATTCGTGTTTTTGGGATTAATTTTCGCATGTTTGGGGTTAATTTTCGGTTTTGTGGGATTGATTTTCCATTTTTTTTGGGTTTTTTGGGTTAATTCGTGTTTTTGTTAGCGTTTTTTGTGTGGGTGGTGGACTGTGGTGGTGTCGGTGGTGGTGGGGTGGAGGCTGGTGTGGTGTGGTGGCTTCGGTTTGGTGTGGGAGGGATTGTGGTGGTGTCGGTGGTGTTGGGTGGGCTGCTGTTGGGGTGGTTTCGGTGGGGTTTGGTGTGGGTCGTGGTGTGGTGGTGTCGTTGGTGGGTTAAGGGATGGCGGTGAGGTGGGTTGGGGTGGTGAGCAGGGGAGTGGGCAGTGGTGGATCTGGGTGGATGGGGCTGTTTTTTTTTTTCCGTCAGAAGCATAGCAGTTTCCGACGGAAAATTTTGTCGGAATGTTACGTATAACGACGGAAATCTTTCCGTAAGAACTGATAGAACAATGTATACTACAAGAGGAGGGGTGAATTGTAGAGTAGGTAGACTATGATAAATTTTGCGGAATTAAATCTACTACTAAGAGAAAAGACATAGGAGATAGGCAATGAATACTTTCACTATGTAAAAATAATTACACGCACTAAGATTCTGCCTAGACTTAAGTTCCGTGAGGAACTCAAGTTACCCAAACTACGATCCCTCAATCGTAGCTTCTCTCTTTGTGATTCGACTCTGAATCACTTGTATAGTATGAGGTACTCTCTCAGGACTCACACTTTACAATTCTCACAACCCCAATCCCAATTACACATTAATTACAAGGATTTCCTAAATAACTTAAGAGACTTAAGGATGGAAGGAACTCGGGTTTCAAAACACTTAGAAACTTTTACGCTCAGAAAACTGAAGTTGTTTTTCCACACTTTCAAAACTTCAACATTGATCTATTTTTATAGGGAGTTAAACCAAGCTTCCATCAAGTTCCCACTTCCCCCTCAATCCCACGTTCACCTTGACTGGGAAGTTGGGATGTAAGTGGAGGAAGTTGAGGAACATGATTTCCTTAGCTTGACTCCCAAGTTCAACGTGATCCTTAATATTTACCAAGTCAAAAAATCAGTTATTCAAAAAGATAATTATTAATAATTAAAAAAGATGATTATTTATTTATTAATTAAAAGATAAATAATTAATTAATTTAAAAAGATATTTTTAAATTAATGAATTATTTAGATTTTATTTATTTATAAAATAAATCTTTTTCAAAATTGATTTTATCACTTCCTTAAATTAAGGGTTTTGAAAACCGTTTTAAAACTTTCGTTTAAAACTTTCTGAGTCAATCGTCAGGTTCCTTCAGGAACTTCAGGTTCCTTCAGGAACTTCGAGTTTCTTCTTAATTCCTTCCAACACTTTTGTTTCTTAAGTTCATACACTAGTAACTAAGTATATAGAGTTGTGAGGACATCTTGAAAGCTTGCATTCATCATCAAGTCTTCCAAACTCTGTTGTTCCTACTCCGGAACATATATTCGTATACCTGAATCTTTCTATTCAACCAAGACTTATAAACATCATTAGTCAGAGTTTGTTTTATGTAAGTCAATCATCAAAATATTAAGGTGGTCAATTCAACAAGAACCTTGCGACAGATTTTCCATTTAAGTCAATTCTGACTCCGACAATCATCATTCTGTCGGAAATTTCGTCGGAACTGACTGTTCCGACAGAAATTCCGTCAGAATACAACGATATTCCTACAAAATGTTATATGACGGTATGAACGGCCAGTTTCGACGGAATTTCGGGTTATTCTGAGGGAATTTTTCTGTCGTAGAACGGCCGTTTTCTAGTAGTGATGAACACAGTGGGGCTCAAAAGGTTGAGTTTGAAAAATTCCCTATAAAGCCTCATAGACCTTTTTTTATTATTATTTTTATAAATCAATCTAAGTGTCACTAATCTTGACATTGGTACAACTAGGTATAAAATTAAAGTTATATTTATTTTTGAGTTAGTATTATGAAAATATTTTTTTATAAAATTCAATACAATAACTCTTCATAAAATTTAATAACAACTAATCGTGCATTGTACGGGACTTAAACTAGTCATAAGTCTATTTCTCAAAAAAAAACAAAAAACCACAAGAATTAAAGAGGATGAAAATAGTTGAGAAATATTACATGGGAAAGATGAAAAATAGAGAATATTTTATAGGAAAGATAAAAAGTAAGTAATGATATTTTCGGTGTATGTATTTTTTGTATGGCAAAAAATACTTCATCCGTTCTTTTTTACTTGACCCGCTTTGACTTTTACACTATTCAACACCCCTCCTTTGACCATCTTTTGTAAATAATATGTAAGGAAAAACATATTCGTGTGAGACCTTGTTAAATCTGTCTCATAAGTACTATCATAATATATAACTTTTATAATTTTAACTTATGGAGAATTAAAGTTATTGATCGTTAAATTTCTACATTGACAAGCGTGATAAAAGAAATAGGTCAAGTAAAAAAGAACAGAGCAAGTAAAAAGTAAGTAATGATTATGTAATATTTTATAAATAGGCACAACATTTTGGGACACTATAAAAGGAATACAGACTTGTAATTAAATGATGGAGAGAATATTTATTATTAACAATTAATCATTAGCTATTAACTACTAATTACTCATTGTTAATTACTAAATACTAATAATGAAAATTAAGGTCATTAAAGAAATATTAAAGAACAAAAGCCAAAAGCCAATTAGAAAAAACTAGTCTTACTAGCTTTTGGCAGAAAAACTGGCTTTTTAGCCAAAGAAAAGACTAATTACCAAATATATAAAATGTCTGTTTGACCAAACGAAAAAACTAAAAGTCGAAAGCCATTGTTAAAGCCGTCAATCAAACAAGCAAAAAAGTCAGTCAAAATAACCACTTCGCACTAACTTTTTTTGTTTTTGCTAAAGATTAATTCACCCAAAAACCAATAGATTTGACAAAAGAAAAATAAAGCAATTGTAGTTGGTGGGGCTCAAACTCGTGACCTCAAGGTCACAAAGCGAATTCCCCACCAACTTCACTAAGCTTGCTTGGTTGCTATACATTAGCACATGGTTAGATTTGAGTGAGACCTTAATTAAATACGATTATAACCATAGCCTAAAGCCCAAATTTTTTTTAGCCCAATTTTTTCGGCCCATTATTAAGTGATCCACTTATGATCTAACTTGAATTGATCCAACCAGCTTAATAACCATGCCAATCTGTGACCACTTCAATTTGTTTGCTTGTAAATTATTCCACAAATTGAAGGATTATACCCTACTGTATTTTACATCACAAAACAACACATGTAATTTTAGCACAATACCATAATTTAAGTTGATAGTAATAGCCATCAATGTTACTCGATCACAACGTGCAATTTTGTAGCATAGATTCACAAAACACAGCAGAATTTTCAACAATTACATTCACCAAATTTATCCTAAAAGCTTTTTTTGACTGATATATTTCGCCTTGACATCAAATTTAACCTGTTACACCCCTGCATGATGTAGAACATTGGAATAGTAGTTCCAATCAGGATGTTGTGGTCCTATAGCAGGCTGTCCGAAACGATACGCTTTGACATATGATGGAACATCCTCAGCATGTGCTAAGCCTTCTAAATAAGAACTGAATTCCCTCTTCGGATCTTGTTAACAACGGAAACAAATCAATTAATTAAACTCATAAATCATCCAAAATCTTTGTATTTGGTAAACCTGATTTAGTTTCTTACCTAGAAAATCATCAGTCAAATCTCCTGCATCATACTTCCCGGGATATATGCCAGTGTTTGGCTGCAAGGATAAGACTTTCGCCTTCATTCTAACTTGATCATAAGATTAATTTATCGAATTTACTGCTAGTTAAAAAAGACATGAATTAACTTAATACCGGATTCAGAAGGCCTTTGTAAGGCTCATCATCTATCAGCAAAGTGTTTGATTCAGAAAACAGAAGCCCTGCTTTGAGAGGAGCCGAGGTCTGCCAAAGTTTCTTGAGTTCTTTGAAAAAAAGAGGCTTATATTTCTTCTCCATTGACTTGAACCCGGAGTCAGTACAACTACGTTGATCCTGCAGTATCCCATATTTCAGGAATAATAGAATTCAAGCCAATCATATAAACAACTAAAATTGTTCTAATATGATGCCCCATAGCAATCATATTGGGGGTTAAAATTGCTTTAAGGACAGTGTAAACACGTCCCTAATTCTTCATCCCCATAATTATTTTCTAACGAAAACATCGTGATTCTCTTTAGTAACCTGATGGTCTAGTTATTCTTCGACAGTAGGTAGATGTAATAGACAGTTAAACAAAAGACATACGAGGATAGAAATAATCACAAGACGTACTAACCCAAATAAACAAGAAGCTGCTCCTCATAAATCCCTTGAAAGCACAATCAAAGATACCATCAACGTTACCCCTACATATTTGATCACCATATATATGTTACATTCTTTATCTCTCTACCAATATTATGGATTGACAAAAACTTATGTTTATTTTTAGGCATGACAAAAACATACTCTTTAGCAGAAGACCATATTCCTACTTCAAATCTCTCAAGGCAGAATTTCATAAACTCTTCAAGAAAAGGCCTCCTATAAACTGCACAAAAAAAAAGATACAACAAAATATTCATAACATTCTAAAAGACGAGTCACTTTTTTTAAAAAACTATGTTACAAGAATAAGTTTAGGTGATTGAATAAAACACACCTAAGCGTTGCCTATAAACCCCATCAGGTTGTCGGTTTTGAGGGATTTCAGACTTATTACCGCGGTGAGCACGATGTATGAGCAAGCCATTCAAATCAAGAACAAGCATCTTCTTTTGAACACCAAGATTTCCAAGCTTTTTCATTGCAACTAACCCAAATTGGTTTTCTTCCTTTGCATCATCAATAACAACGTCGTTGCTTTTAGCTTCCACGTCTAATGATAAACAAATAATGCCATCCATAATAATCGATAAAATTCTAAGAATATTATGAAGTTGAAAGGTTTATATAGTGGTGTTCAAACTGTTCATAAGGCTTATATCTTGGATAATATATAAGCGTCAATTCTACTCTTCCTAGCTAGGTAGACGAAAGGTTTTTTTTTTTAAGATAAGATAAGCCGTTTAACCGTTTGATTATCCAGTGTTACAACTAATTTATTTCATGTATACTTAACTATTGCAATAAATATATATCTAAAAAATTAAATAAAATTATTGCTAGTATAACAGCATCTAGGGAAGTGTCGAAATTATAGTACGCATGCACGCCGACGCCTTGTGTCCTATGATGATTCTTGGACCGTTAATGTTAAGCTTTTAGGAATTAAATCTAAACTTTTATTTATTTATTTATTTATTTTATTTATTTAAAAGCGTTCCTAAAACAAAATATGTGTCACGTGTCACCCTTTCAAGCTCTATAAACATGTCAAGTCATCAATATATGCCACGTGTCACTTCTTTAAGCACTATAAACATGTCTTGTCACCTCCACAACATGAATTAGACTAACAAATGTTACGATACAAATCTTACCACCTTAGCTATTTATTTATTTTTTTGTGAATTTAACCAACTAAATTATAGTTAACTTAGATAAGATGATTAATTTTTAATTGTATAATTTGTTACATATCATAAGATAATTTAACAATTTTAATTTGAAAGTTTGAAAAATTGTATAGTTTTTCTTGATATAAATTAGAATTTTTTGTTAAATAGTCAATAGTTGAATTTTTGAACACAAACTAGTGGGTGCGGCTCTCTTCCCTTCTCTTTCTCTCTCCTCTTCTCTCCTCCTTTTTACTTTACTCCTTCGATTTTATTTTATTTTTCATTCATAATTTTCATTAACACCCACAAAATCAATCAATCATTAACCCTAATTGAATGATTTTCAAAGCATCAACGTTCTGCTTCAATAGGGAGTATTGTTCCCCGGAGAAGCAGCCGCGATTCGTTGGTTGTGACTGATTGGTGGACACTTTGAATTGAAATCGGGACTGCGAGTTCGGTGGTGGCTCAATTGCAGACTGTGGGAGTTGTGGTTGTTTTCGGGGAGTAGGCTGGTTGTTTTCGCTGGTGGTGGCTGGGGCTGCTTTGGTGGGTTCGGTGGTTGGTGATTTGGTGGGTTCGGCTTAAGGTAGAGGTGGTGGTGGCCGGATGGGTTCGGTGGTTGGTGGTTGGTGGTTGGTGGGTGCGGTGGGTTCACGTGAGGATTTGTGGTTGATTTTAGAAAGAAAGAGAGGAAGAGGGGGAAAGAGGAACTGCTAACAGGAGAGAGAAAGAAAGAGAGGAAGAGGGAGAGGGGGAAAGAGGAGAGAGAAGGAAATATAAATAGTTTGTACTTGTATATACTTCGTACATCAGCCAATTGATGTTTGATATCAGTTAACCATTAAAGACATTAATAAAAACGTATCAGCCAATAAAAGGAATATATCAGCCAACAAAAGATACATATCAGTCAGCAAGAGGAATATATCAGCCAACGACAAAAGATACCTATCAGCCAACAGAAGAAACATATCAGCCAACAAATGAAGCATATCAGCCAACAAAAAGATGAAATAAGCAAACAAAAGCAACAGATAAGCTAACAAAATAAACATATCAGCCAAGAAAATGAAACATATAAGCGGCCAACAATTCAATTAAAATATACATATTAGCCAAGAAAATAAATATATCAGTCAATTAAAGAAACATATAAGCCAAATGATGTCTGATATCAGCCAATAAAAGGAAGAAGAAAAAAAAACATATCAGCCAACAAAAAGAATATATATTAACCAACACAAAAACCATATCAGCCAACAAATTGAACATATCAACCAACACATGAAACATATTAGCTAACAAGTAAAATATATCAGCCAAGTCTGCCGCACGCAAATCTGCGTGTAGCAGTCCGCACCCAATACCTTCTCATTTTTTAATATGATTCTCCTAAAACAAATCTTTTTTCAAAATATTAAATTTTCAAGATGACTGTCAATACATTACGAAAAAACAATCAAACGCACACCAGTTTAGTCCTTATAAATGAGATTAAATCACGCGTCGTGAAGTATTTGAATTTTGAATGGGTTGAAGATATAATATTTTAATACTACTCTATAGTCTATATTACAACAACTAAATTAAATCAAATGGTCACATTAGCCAAACTCTAGAAAATATATGGTAAATTAAAAAATAATAAACCTAAGTAAAAGATATACGGAGTAACATGTTGTGTACATGTAGTGGTCTAGTGGAAATTAATACTCCGTAACAGAGTATTAGTTTATACTCCTTCTATCTCATAATATATGATATAGTCAAACATTGTACATATGTCAATGCATTAGTTTGACTTTATTTTTATATAATTAAATATTAATTAAAATTATTTTAAAAATTATATTATTAAACTTTATATTAAAACCTATCTAAAAACATATTTTACGATAAAATATTTTATTATGTTAGTAAAAAAATTATTGTCAAACCTAATGCATGAATAGTGAAATAAAGTCCAACGTCTCATGTATTATGTGACAGAGGGAGTAAAATTTTTATTTATTTATTTATTTTTATTTTTAAGAATAGTGTATAAAAGATTTATAATAACAATGCTTGGTTCGTAGAGGCGTATGTACCATGCGCATGGTACATATGTTTCATATATATATATTTTTTATAGAAATGTAATGAACATATAGTTACAGTGAATAGAACATACTATTAATTAAATTGTAATGAACATATACCTGGAGTGAAATGAACATACTATTAAATAATGTCTTTATCTCCATGTTCTTTGATTGTTAGTGTAAATGTACTTTTATTTGTGACATAATTTCATTATTCATGGTGAAATGTTCTTTGAATTTTATCTTTTGGTTATATGGTGGGTGAATATAAATAATGTTCATTACATAATATTATCATGTTCTTTATTAATATTACGGATGTTCTTTAGTTATACAAAAAGAACATAAAGCCGAATGTTTTTTACAAAACAACTATATGTTCATTCCGCTTTTTTATAATAAATAAATAAAAGGCTGGATGTACCATGCTTGGTACATCATATCATATCACATCATATCACTAATAAATAAAGTCAGTCCGCAGTCAGGCGATGAGACAGCGACACTTGGCATTCCAGTTTTTTGTCAAATGTTGCGCCACGTAGGAAATAAATAGGTATTATTGTGACACATATGATGCTAAGTAAGCGATTTTTGGATATATTTTTTAAGATAAAATTGTTGTATAGAGTATTATTATCGATAAAATTCTAATATTTTATATATACAAAATTAACCATAACTTTTAATAAATATCCTCTAACTCAATTCTATTTCCATCATCAAATTCGTTTTAAAAAGTTCTATAAAATAAGATCCATTTATAATATATTTGATCACAAACTTTTATACGTAGCTGGTCAAATCGTGTCATTTACTATTACAAGAGTTATTTTGTTAGTGTTATAGGGGTTATTACTTGGTCATTAATCGTTGGTTGGTACACTAGTTTAAAAAAAACAAAGCGGAAAGAACATAACTTATATTTGTAATGAACATCACGACTTTATAAAAGAACAGAGCATTGAAATATAAAGAACGTGACATTTTGGTGAAACAGTTTTTAAAAAAGGTAAAAGATAATTACCAATTGATTTTTACCACGTATTTAATGTCAAATCATTTCAAAATATTCAATTTTTTTTATAATTTCTCTCTCTAAAATTATTTTTATCAAGATTTCATTTTCAAATTTCAAATTCCAATATTATTTATTTTGTTCTCTTTCTTTTTTAAAAAAATTCTCTAAATAACTAATTATATATTTTTATATTTTGTTATAATATTCAACTTGGTCGTGTGTATCTATTATGATGTTCATTATATGATTTTTAAATGTCCATAATCTTATTTTTTTTTAGCAACGAAAAGAGTAATTTAATTAATCAAATCGAGGTTCGCCACAGCAAGAAAACTTTGGGGGAAAAAGTTCGTACAAATGCGAGCCGAGTTAATGTTAATTTCCCATCTTGCAACAAAGTGGGCTACCGTATTACTAACATGAACACAATTGAAGCTATTAAGAGACTTACAAACTCTAAAAATATCCTCGAAGAAAATAAGTATAGTAGCAGCTCATTCCTGTTGTTTTCTAATAGCATGTACCACGTTGACAACATCGCACTCAAGCACCAAGTCCAGATACCCCAAGCTTCTCGCCACCATCAGTCCAAATAATGCAGCAGCTGCCTCTGCCATTGCAGGCTCCCAACAGCAGCTCATGCGCTTCACAGCTGTGGCCAACATTTTGATCACGAATCACCGCACCTAATCCCACCCCCGCATCACCATAATCCGCAGCATCTACATTCACCTTAACAGACCGGCCCACAGGTGGCACCCACCTCTAGCATCAGCTACCATATTACTCCCCCGCACTTTGGTATTATACACCCCGTATTCCTCACAGAAAGAAACTAATCCAGTAGCAGCCCACGCTAAAGAAGAGAAAACACGAAGCTGGCCTTTGTCAATTTTACTCGCCACCCAACAGAACAGCTCACGACAGGAAGTAGCAGGAGCTTCAGCAATCAAGATTATGTATTGACTATGTATTCTTATTAAAAAAAAAATAATGAATACATTGCAATGTATTATTGTTAATTTGGACGATTTTTTTTTTATTTTACTTAAAAAAAAAATAAACAAACCAATAAGTTGAAAAATTATTTTATCTTAAAAAAAAAAAAAAAAAAATCAGAAGTGTTAAAATTTGTAATATTTTAAAATAACAATTAGTTTCCATAAGCTTTTAAATTTTTTTACTCTTCTTATTTTCGAAACTAAATTAAGATTATGCTAAAAAGAATGGAAAAATACAAGGTTAGCAGATCTTTCTCCTGGAAAAACACGTTGGAATGCCTTAAATCAAGGCAGATGTTTTGCATTGTAAATGGGAAATAGCATTGGAAAAGATGAATGGAATATTGCATTTAATGATAATTCAAGCAATTAAAAGGTATAGCTACATCATCATACATGTCAGCATCCACCTCATAAGGTTGGTAACCCCATGGGTTAATAGAACATTTTCCCATTCTTCACAA